AGAGAGAGAGAGAGAGAGAGAGAGAGAGAGAGAGAGAGAGAGAGAGAGAGAGAGAGAGCTAGGGGCGGAGGAACAGAGGGAGAGAAGGCCGAGCCTTCCTCCCGGTACCTGACTGGTAGCTATGGCGCGGCCGGGCCGCTGCGCTGTTCCTCTCGTTGCGGCGCTCGTCGTCTCCTATCTGCTCTCGCTAATGCTGCTGTGCTGCGCTAATCTCCTTAACGCTGCCAAGCCGCGCTAATCCCGAAGACTAACTCTAGTCCATACTAACTCCCTACTGAGGCAGGTACCCAGCCTTTTGTAGTGCTGGGCCGGCCTCCTACCTGCTGGTACCTACCGGCCTGGACCGTTGATCTGAATCAACGGTCCAGATTTAAACTGGACTTGGTGCCAATAATGCGGCAGCCTCTGCAGCGCCGCCGGTAGGTCCTGTGCTGGACCGGTACCGGCCTTGTGGCCGTTTGGCCCGGGCCTCTACCCTAGGCCTGCCTGAACTGCCGTGGTCCAGGCCCATCTGGGCCTCATCTGAACCGTCGTCCCTTAGGCCTACCCTGCCTGTCTGGAACCGGGCCCTAACTGGGGCCCGTGTGGCTCAGAATCCCACAGGCCCGGTGTCGTTTCAGCCTGAAAGCCTGAAAACAAGGGCCTACAGGCCCTGTGTCGTTTCAGGCTAAATCAGGGCCTTTCCGGCCCTGAGTGTTTTCAGCCTGAAACTGAGGGCCATTTTCGGGCCCTCATCGGTTCGACCTGCCCTGAAACTCAGGCAACAAACCAGGGTCTTAGCACAGGCCATTTCGGGCCTGTTTTCAAGACATCCCCTGGTTGAGCTTCAACGCCAGGGTCTGCCATGTTTCGGCATTGGCAAGAGCAGCCTCCTGGACGGGCCAGCACTATACAGGACTGGCCCGCCCTGCAGGCAGGCAGGTAGTTCCTAGGTACTTCCCACGCACTTCACGTGCAGTTCACGAGGCAGGAGGTAGTCTTCAGGATTCGGCAGCAGCACTCTGGAGCGCTGGAGTAGTAGTAGTAGCGTTAGCAGTAGTCTTCAGCGCTGGGCGCTAGTAGCGTTAGCTGTAGTCTTCAGCGCTGGTGCCATAGCAGCTAGAGTAGTACTATAGAGAGAGAGACTGGGCGGATGCCAGAGGGACTTACCTGCAGCGCCATCGCTCCAGCTTCACCTTTGAGGTACCTGCAGCACAGCGCCACCTTCACAGGTTAGTACCTGGCGTACAAGAGAGAGAGAGAGTTCTTCTTCTTCCTCTTCTCAGTCCACCATCTCCATCTCACCCTCTCGCTACCTGACTTCACTGCATCAGCAGACTATGAGAGAGAGAGAGAGCTTGGTGACATTTGGATCCCGACTCGACATTGGACTTCAGACATTTTGACGAGGGATTATTCGGGACTTGTAATGAAGACTTGGTGTTGATGACTTTCCCATCTCCCCCCTCCTCTTCTTCGTCTGTTTCCCTCCTCTTCGTCTGTGCATGATCTGGACCTGGCGCCTTCCTCCTGTGTATAGCGCCAGGCTCCCTTCACACTTGGTGATGAGAATGATGTATGTTGGGTCTGCGTTGCAACATTGATTGGGCTAGTCATTGCTATTCTAGCATTCTGCTTCGCTACTTGTACTACGTGTGTGAGGTCAGTCCTTGTCAGGTCAGTCTTTGTATCTAAGTCTTCCCTGCGCTATAAAGCACCATGTTTGTATGTCTCAGAATGCACATTGCTTGTTGAGATTCTACTTGCACTGCATTGTCCATTCAGTCCTTTTTATCACATTGCGGATCCTCGGTTATTATGTACATCGCCCAACCGGGCATGTAACAGAGAAAACATGGTTCCATCTTGTGTACCCAGGATCACCTTCCCTCCTCAGTCGCCGCTGGTAGAGGTAGCAGTCGCCAGCTGATTTCAGCCTCGAGCTGCAAACACTCTGCTGAACGGGCTTGCCATTAAGCACAGGAACAAACCTGACGTGCTCCTCACGGTGCACCTGACCCGTCAGATGCACCTGCCTCAACCAACGTCATGATCAACTGTTCCCAAACTCAGTACTCGGCTTGAGAGCAGTCGATAGCGCAGCGGAAGAAAGGACCAGCCAGAGTCAAGCTCTCAAGTGGCCATCCCCTCCTAGGCACTAACCGAGAGGAGGAGAACCTCTCAGACAGTATTGCCTTAGCTGCAACCTCAACCGTTTCACACACGCCCCTCCTCGAAAGACTGATCTCATACTCAGGAGCATCTCTGATCACCCTGAACACAGGTATTTACTATTTAGTATTTATCCTAGAGCAGTCACCACCGCCATGTAGACTTCCCAAGTCATGCTGCTGCTTTTCTCCGAATTGAAAACCCAAAAGATCTGACCGGTCCGTCCACTGGTGCTGAAAACTGAAATCTTAAGAAAAGCTAAGCCCCTATTAACTTAGCATTAAACTGATCTCATACCCAGGAGCATCTCTGATCACCCTGAACACAGGTATCCCAGGGCAGTCACCACCGCCGTGTAGACTTCCCAAGTCATGCTGCTGCTTTCTCTGAATTGAAAACCCAAAAGACCTGACCGGTCCGTCCACTGGTGCTGAAAACTGAAATCTTAAGAAAAGCTAAGCCCCTATTAACTTAGCATTAAGCCAAAGAGCCCACCATCATAAATTACAGAACCTGCCATGGAAAGTGAAACGTGAAACCGAAGCAACGGTGCTTATGTCCCTGGACTGTTCAACGAGTCGGGTACTCCAGGAACAGGTGCCACCAAGGACGGGCCTCTGGAGTGGAATCCCCAGCGTGGCCTTCTTGGCAAAACCTCCGTTTTCGCTCTGCCCAGTTTTAGAAGAAGAGTGGACAATTATACGATAAACACAGCCGTAGAGATGAAAATGCCAATGCCAAGTACACCGTTACAACCATTCCATTGCGCATGACCAATGAGCATGAGAGCCAAAAGACCATCGCTACTAGCAATGGTGCAGATCCCTGAGAAAGAGCAGCAGAGGGCAAAGTGCAGAAAGTCTGTTCAAGACCTCCGAAGAAGGGAGGGCAAAAAAATAAAAATGAAAAACAGGTGTCGACAGAAAAGGGGCTCACCACTCTCCGAATCCCGTTGAATTTCTGTCGAAAGGTTTCCTGCTGTACAATCCCTGAGAGCACCGATCCCCTGATGCAGTCACATCATATCCAGACCGCAGAATGCAATTATGTGATGAATGTTTTGTCGCAGAGAAGAGTTTCACAAATCGAGTGAATGCAAGATCCACAGCATGAAATAATAAGTAAATTAATACACACCTTATTCCAAAAATTGGCAAACAGCTGAAAATTTTCTCATATTTGGAACAGTCTTACTGTGTATTAGTGTGCAAAACTTTACCATGTGTTTTTTTTTTGTGTGTTTTTGTTTTGAATTTTTTTTTTCCCCCTTAATTTTATTTTAATTTGGACCTTTTATCGATTTATGCATGTCATCCTTGCGAAGGGGGCATGCTAATCTTCTCAGTATCGTTCCAATTTTAACGGATGTCCCGAAGGACCTTTACCATGTGATATTAATAAAAACCATAACCATATTTTGGCGAAACGACTGTTTCTCGAATGGTGCAAGGCTTGCCACGTCTGTGTATCTGAGCGCAGGATGTGCACACACCTGTTTGCGTTCCAGCGCACTTGCACCTTACAATTGGTATGTTCTCTTGCAGATGCTCATTTGTTTGTATTTAGCAATTCTGCATGGGGAACAGGAGAGGAGGGAAGGCGACGAAAGGGGGGGAGCCCGGGGAAGAGAGACGCGAGAGAGGGAGAACAAGGGCTCACTTCTCACTGGCACAGCACAGACTGACATAACAGGCCATGGTTACAGCCAGGTTGGGACTGCATAAGATGCATAGGTCTTAAACCACCAGTCCTTTTAAGCCTCTTTTTTCCCGATCCAGATTTCGGCTGCGCAGAAGAAAAAAAACGAACAAGCGCAGGGACAACACTTTGTCCTTTTCCCTGGCTCTGCAGCCTTCTCCGTCCAGTGGACCGAGCCCCCAACTATTCAGCAGGTGAAGCACTGTGTTGGACCACAATAGCACACCCAACGGACTGGTGGTTGACCGCCGTGTTAAAGAAAATACCTGGCAAAAGCCCATATCACCATGATCACAAACAGTACATGAATGACTCGGGTAAGGGATGTGAGCAGAGTATTCAATCCCGACAGCAGTGCACACTATTTCGAATGCCGCGCCGCAGACAGGTATCGCAAGCAACATGGCTTCCACATGCTAGGACCATCAAGCCACAGACGCAGTCATACAGACACTGCACAACCAGGCTTTCTCTGTCCGAGGGACATGCTATGAGAGGATGGCAGAGAATATCAGCAAGAGTGTCGAAACATAGGCTTGCTTGGACCATCCCCGCAAAATGCTCTCTCTACAGAGGGAGCGCTGACCACATTGCAGCCATAAATCACCTGCATCATCTCAGATTGGCAGCCGTAGTCATACATACACTGCAAGTCCAGGCTTTCTCTGTCCGAGGGACATCCTATGAGAGGATGGTAGAGAATATCAGCAAGAGTGTCGAAACATAGGCTTGCTTGGGCCATCCCCGCAAATGCTCTCTCTACAGAGGGAGCGCTGACCACATTGCGGTCATAGATCACCTGCATCGTCTCAGCATTGGCAGTGAACAAACAGCTTCCAAGTTCCAAAGCTAATGTCTGTTGCTCATGGGGGCTGTGTCTGGCCAGCCAGTGTTGATGATGAAGGATAAAAAAAGAGAGTGTCCATGAACTGCAGAATGTGCTCTGCCAGTGCATGCTGTGAGGGTGGCAGCCCTTCTGCATTGTGCTCCTCTGCATTTTGCATTTCTGGCATCTGCTGTAACTACTCGGGCCGCAGCTCCGGCAGCAGAATTGGTACCTGCCCGGCAAGGGTGGGAGGTTCTCACCATTCTGCATTTCAGGTATCTCCCACGTCAGGCTGCAATACCACTTTCATTACCCAACATTGGGTGAACAGGCTCTGTAGCAGAGGTGCTTGGAGAGAGTTTGGCTTGGTAGGAGGGATATGCACGATGCGGGGGATGCCCACAGTGTGGGTAGATAGATAATACAAAATCAGGTGTTAGTACCGTGTTACGGACTTCAATATCGCAGCAAAAAACACCCGAAATTGCTGATGAAACAACCACCAGCGCTCAGCCCTTCTATCCTGCTGCTCAGGCTAAGAGGAGTTCGACCTCCCAAATGCTTTCTTTTATCTACCTTGGCCACTGATGCGGAACTGGTACCAGCGCCGAACCTATCACAAAAACTGGCAAAAGTACAGGTATCTCTCTCGCCTCAGGCTGCAATACCTCTTTCATTACCCAACATTGGGTGAACAGGCTCCGTATCAGAGGTGATTGGAGCGAGTTTGGCATGGTAGGAGGGATATGCACGATGCAGATGTGGGGGATGTCCGCAGTGTGGGTAGCCCAGAAAGGTAGAGAAGAAACATGTCTTGGAATGACTCCTGGAAACAGGCATGACATATAGCATGCTGGTGGCATGCCAGAAAAATGGACGGTGGGCATTGGCAGCCATTCAGGCAAGGCAGTTGAAGACCATGCCCGCAAAATGGGCACTCAAATAGTGGATGGTGTGGCTTAAAACATAATGCTGAAACGTCACAATCTTCAAGGCAAATGCTTGATGTCACCATCCCTTCACAGTGGATAAATCAGAGGTTACTTTGTGCACACATGCCAGCTGAACTGTACCTGCATTTAATCAGCATATTCACAGAATGGCGTGGCACACAAATTGTCCCCTCACGTGATCCCTAAAGCAATGTCAGAGGCTCGTCCTTCATCAGTATCCGTGAGCACAGCAGCCAGATAAGTTGCTGGGCAGAGACAAGCATTCCCTGGATTATCACCTGGAGGCGATGAAACTCGGGCGCCTTTTCAATGTGGCCCTGCAGGCATATAATGTTCCTGGAACAAAGCGATTTGGGTAGCTTTGTTTCTTACTTCATTCGTTGTTTTCATTGGTTAATCTTCAGTTTGTTCAATTTAGCTTTCTTAGCACTATGCTATCATATGAGCAACGGGATTCGACATTTATTGTGGGATTTAGGGCACAGCTTAGATTTATCAAAAGTGTACACTTCCGGAACTATTATGTTCTTTTTTGCAGCTTGTCTAGTTACTGGTAGCACTACTTATGTCAGGTACCACAAGGTCCCTGCCAACTTTACGACACACCTCTCAGCCCTCACGCAAACCAGCAATACGCAGCACAATTGAACCACAGAATCACAGATCACTTTTGCATATATCAACTAACCTCGGAATCACCATAACCATAACCATAACCATAACTTCCGAATGACATGGATTGGTCTGGACGATAAACTATGGCTCGTTCTGTGCTTGGTGGCAAATCCCTGATACCTCTTGTTCACTGCATCCAGTGACCACACCAGGGCGAACTACCTGATGCCTGACTCAGTGATCCCATTGAAATTAAGGAATTCGTGATCATTAAAAACAAAACAAAAAAGGAGCTCATGATCATCATCTTGCCTTCTTAAATAGTGTAGAGTAACTTCGAATTCCTTCCTTGTCCCATCACCCTTCTCCCCTATGTTCTATCACTTTGCTCCCGGCATCACCATTCTCCTGTGCCTCCCATACTCATATGATCGACATGGGTATCCTTACACACACTGCCTCAGCAACCATTGTCAACGACACCCTCTGTGTTCTCCCACAACATTTTGTCACTCGGCCAGACATCTGCAGATTGTTATTCGCTCTCTTTGCTCCTCAATCCATTCAGTGTATGCCCTCCGCCTCCTCCCTCCCAATGGCCACTTCAATGCAAATGTCGCCTGTACGCTCCGTCAAACCGTTAGCAGGCACTTCTCGGCCTCCTACAGCAGGTGGTTCCTTGTGCCAGGTACATACAGACTGCACTGTACTCCAAAAGACGGGCCATGTAAGAGACCCACACACCTACCTGCTTCATCTACATCAATTAGGACGTACACGCACGGCCACCCCCAGTATCCTCTGCACCTACAGCCCCCCGTGAGTGGTTTCGGCAACAGAATATGGCCCACCCCCTGCAATAAGCCCCTCATCCACACCCAATGCAGAAACAATAATATAGTTAACATACAGTCAGAGATGGAAAATCTGGGCTACCTTGTCACCTGAATAGAACGGCTGGTCATTATAGCTATATTCGGGGCAACTTTCACTCTAGATACAGCTCTAATGACCGGGGGTTCTATTTAGGTGAAGACGGTAGTAGGACCCTGGCTCTTTTTTTTTTTTTTTTTTTTTTTTTAATAGTAGGATCCTGCCTGGCTCAGGAACCCTATTATCATGCATAAGAAGTTGGAACGCAGACAGGAATCAACATTGGTATATTACGACGAAGAAGATGTGTTGGAGTTTTACACATCACGGCATGGCTATGTTCCTTGCATGACACACTCAGACACGAATGTCACAACACGGCACACTCATTTGAGACACACGACGTCCAAAAGAGTCTCCGAAATCAGTCAATCCTCCAGAGTTCTGGAGCAATCAATGCTGCTCAGGGGTCCTTCGGCCAGACGGAAGGAAGCATGCGGGTGTTCTTGCTGTCCTTTTGACTTGCCGGTGGAATAGGAACCGGACTGATGCTCCCCCAAAAAAAAAAAAACTTGATCCTCTTCTTCGTCACCAGCGGTTATGGCTGCTCAACTCAGCATGCTGCTAAGTCTCTCTCTCTCTCTCTCTCTCTCTCTCTCTCTCTCTCTCTCTCTCTCTCTCACCTCAGTCCTCGCTTATTACGGACTCCGCCAGGGCTCGATCCCTGGTCTATCTTTTGCTGTTTCAGCTGCATCCCGTTTTCGGCCTGGCACCCTTTTTCCAAACCCCT